CCACCCCCACCCCCCCCTCCCCCATCTGTCTCCCTCCCCCCCCCCCCCCCCCCCCCCCCCCCCCCCCCCCCCAACGATAGGTAGTTGTTTGCAGTTCTGGCATTGTATCTAGTTGATTTGAAGCAAAAATACTCCAAGTCTCCTATTTTTAGATTCCTTCAATGCACATGTAATTTCAGAAGGAGTATATGCTGTTTTCACTGCATTAGTACTCAAAAAAGTAAAAAAGTCGAAAAATATGACAGTTTACCCAGAAAATAGTAGGTTCCAGTAAGATATACACAAGGGTACATTTTTATGCATGGTATTAAGTTGTTAGTAATTCTTAGTGTTTTGAGATCTGCTGCTAGTCTATACAGAAAAGAGAATTTAATAATTTTACAGATTTGCAGATTTGAGGATTATATATGCGTGTGTATATATAAATGTACAAGATATTGAGAGTATTTCCAATTGAGAATGATTTTGTACAGGTTCTAGTGCTGTCAAAGGTGGAATACTGGAAGTAAAGAAAATCTTTACTTTTCAGACACTGAGAAAATGCCACATGGGTAAATGTGGCTTTTAAAAGCTAAAAGTTAAAAAGATATTTAATTGTATTTATGAAGAGATCAAGGACAGTTTTGACCCAAGGACAAACAGATGCACTTGATCATGAATAATTTCTACTGTAAAGTAGAAGGAAATCCCTGGAGCTGTGAAGTTTAGCAATAGTTTTCTAATTGAAATAGTGATGAATTAGGTGGAATATGGTTGGTATATGATGGAATTAACTGATTAGTTCTCTGTGGCATTATTTGCAGGGCAGATCCTGTAGATCCCTTGCAGTTATGTGTTCCTCAAGTGAAAAGCTATTGTCTCTTGAAAAAGAACAACAAAATCGAAACTGCTGTGGAGAAAAAAGATAAGTTACCTGCTACTAGTATTAAATAGAGATCTCTGTAAAAAATTAAATAGATACCAGATATTTTTAATGAGTAATTGAAGAGTAAAGTCAAATGAATAAAAGAGCGGGCAAGAAATGCTGAAGTTGATGAATATTTTTGACTAAAGCTGACTCAAGTTAACTAGCATTTCTGTATTTTTTAGAAGAACTGAGGAAGCTGTTTAATGTTAGATTTTTATCTAAGTGGTTTTGACAAATTTTTCACCAGTGTAAACCAAACTTGTGATATTTTGGAGGCATGAAGGAAAGCTAATACACAAATTTTCATTAAATTTCTATAGTCCATGTAAAGCTATTAGTGCTATTATTGTTTTTCAACTTGAAAATATTAAAAGTCAAAAATATTTCTTCCTCAATTTTAACCATTAATTTAATAATTAAATAAATGCATTTTGTTTTGGGGAAATGTAATTTTTAACAATTTCCACACAAGTATTTCATTATCTGTTTGATATTTTAAATTTTGAAAATGTTTTACTTTTGAGGCTCTTTATTTACACCTTCAGACATCATAGTTCCAAGCTCATTTTTTGAGTGACACGGAAATAGTATAAATGAATTAACATATGAGAAAATCCTCTGTAGTGAGGTAAGTTGATAGAAAATATCACTAAAAAGGAGAAATAACAGAATATCTAAGATGAACACAAAGGCAGGAATGTATCTTCTGATGTAGTAACCATAGAACTGAAAACACTGATGCTGTTGAGTAAATATCCTTATAATTTGGCTATTGCTTAACTAACTGTAAAGCTGACAAAATATTGGCAAGGTGCTTGTGTGTTCTTACATATTGCAAGTACCTAATAAATAATTCTTACTGTCTTTGATGGAAATGATGGTTAAATCGTATGAAATTATAGAATTATTGTTAATGATTAAGACATATTTTAATGTAAATGCTCTGATCTTACTCCATTGGATCATATGACTCTCTATTGCTTACAGCGCAGTGCTTCTTAGAGGAAGCATCATAGCATAGGCTGTTTGCTGGATGTATCTGTCTCTAGAGATGTTTTCCTAAAGACTACGAGTCGGTTATGTCTTAAGAGTCCTGGGACTTTGGGATGTTAAAAGTGATTCTCAGTTACAGGGAAATCAAGATAGTATGGACAAGAGGGATCTATGATTAAATGAAGATGAGACCTCCAAATTTTCATTGTAGCTAACCAAAAAATGAAATAACAGGAATAAAAAATTGTCTTACGTACCTGAAAGAATGCTGAGTTTTTGGAAGTTTTAAACTCATTAAGGTACTATCCAGAATGCTTGCAAGCAGGCATTTACACACATTGTTTGTTTCACTCTGTAGCTCTGCAACGATTTTTTCCCCATACCAAGCTACCAAGTCCTTATATTCTCTCAAGCAAGATAATATTTAATTAAATTTTTTCTCTTTAAGAAGCATTTGTGCATGTGTGAGTGTGTGTTGTACTCATAAAGAAAAAACAAGAAACAATGCTGTTTCCTTCGTTAATTTATAATTGTTACATTCTTTGTAATAACTTATTTTCTAGGTAAATGTATTCTCTGTATAAAAAACATCCTAATTCTCACTAGCTGGGCTAAGAAATATACTCTGCTATTCACTTGACTAGTCTTCACTGACCGTGGTGCACCTTGTAACCTGGGATCGTAGTCAGTTCACAGCTGCAATTACACCAACCTGAGTTCTATTCTTTTTTTTCACCTCAGCCTGCAGTCACTGCATGGAATTCCCAAATGTCCTGTACCAAACATGCAGAGTATTATGGATTTATTCATGAAGGATGATGTTTTATTTCAAAATTTTAAAGTATTTTTCTTCAGAGAAATGTTTTGTCTACCCCTTCTACCACTAGACTTCAAAGAAACTTGTGATTATCAGAAAGATTTATCATCTTTACTGATTTTTCAGAAAAGAGAACTGATCATACTTCTTTTATGGAGAGATATTTGTAGTCTGAAAGCTTCCACCAAAACTGAAACATGTTTGTTTTCACAGTAGGTTTTTGTTTCTTTAGTTTGCAGATAAAAGATGTATCACCTTCTGAGGTAAAATCATAATAATATATAAAACAGAAAATTTTCATTACAAATTCTCCTTGCTAAAGGGAGGATGATTTTCCTTCATGCCAGTGGAGTAGCACCTACGATTTAGATCTTTTTCAAAACAGTGAATTGAACTTTTGTTTTTTCAGTTCATAGGATTCTTTGAAATGTAATCTCCTAAATGTTTGAAGAATCCAGGTGAAAAGCCTTTGCGTAGATTGTGAGGTGGGAGTAAGTCTAATGCAACTAGGTATTTTACACTTCTAAGTTGCTGGATCAATTTTATAAAGCCACAGGATACAAATAAATCTTTCAGAGATTAACGATCTCTGCCAGCAGATTCTTGCCATAAATACTTAATTTGCAGTCCCTTTTTTTGATTTTGCCAAGTACAAGTCTTAGTCTTGTTTATAAACATCTTGCGGGTTACGTTCTGGTCATTGGCTGTTACTGTATTACTTATTTGTTGTTTTGTTGATGAATGCTAGCTGGAACGCTCTTAAAGGACTTAAGTTTTATTTGGTTTACATATTCTGTTGAATTAAAATTACATTTAAAACTCACTAAAATTCAATTTGCTTAAGCCACCACTAGAATTATTTTCAAAGGCTGCAGACTTATGTCAAGGGCTACATTATGTAGTGCAGGTGTTTATGGAGCAAGACCGAAGCACAAAAAAAAATCATGTTTAAATGTTAACCACAAACAAGCTGGGCTAGACTTCTTAGTATTCTTAGTTCATTTCTAAAGGTATGAAATATGACATTACAAGAGACGAGTAAGAGGGTAGTATAAAATTACCAAGCCTGCAAAGAGCTGGTAGTGTCTGCACTCATTACTGGTTGCATTCATTGTTTACAAGATTATTTCAGAATCAAAGTACATGAGGCAGAGATCTTTCAGCAGCACAAGAGGAAAAATCCCTGGCACGATGTGGTTGCAATGAAAAGGTCTTTACTATTGTTGGTACTTTGTACAAGTGCCTAATGCTACGGATGGTGTTTGCTGTTCAGTGGAACCTTTTTTTTTTTCATATTTCCTTTGATGTAACTTACTTGCTGACAGAATCCTGTTGCCGCTTCAGTTGAAACAAGTTTGGATTATTCAAAGTATTTGCACCAAAATATCTTTTACAGTTTCTTAAAATTGTCTCCATGCTCTTAGGCTGACTCCCAAGGAGAGACTAGAGGGAAGGATCTATTTCTGCTGGCCCAGACAGTTCTATGTTATATAATTGCTGACACATACAAGTTTTATTTTCAAGTTTGTATTTCACATTTTTAATAGATGAAAAAAATATATTTTTAATATTAGTTTATTTATGAAGTGTTTTATTGGCCATGGTGAGATAAAGTCCCAACTATCCTACGTTTTGTTGAATAAATCTATCAACCCATTCACTCTAATTATCATAGACATCTGCCAATCTCAGCATTCTAATAGAACCTTCTAGGTTGTTATTTCTTGAAGGCTATGACATCTTTATGCTTTTCCATTAACCCTGCTGACTACTTGCATCTGTGGCTGATCTGTATAGTTCTGTATGAACCTCTATCAGAACTTTTTGCTTAGTGTATTTTGATTCTTTTGCTAATGCTTGGTGATTGCTACTTGACCAGAAAAGCAAGGGGACAGCAAGTGTGAAAATTTAGTTTTTTATCTCTTCCATTTTTCGTTTTAGTGGTTTTATTTATTTGCAAAATGCATTTGAATCAGAAGAGAATACTTGCTATTTGTACCATGGCAAATTTCTTGACCGGATGAAAGATGTCTTTGCATAGCATTCCTGATCCATTTATTTTTTTATTTGTCTAGCACTCTAATACAGCAACACTTGCAGTGTAGACAAGTGATAAGGGAGATAATCTGAATGCAGTCTTTTACAGAACTGAAAGAATCAGGTTATTTTCTTCAGTCTTAAAATCCCTTATTTTAGCTTTGTCTTAGGCTTCTTGCTTTTCCTTTGTCATTCTGCTGTAATAGAGCTGCACAGTTCTCAAATACTTGACTGGAAGTAGAACCACAAGAATACTGGATACTTCTCTGCAAGAACGCATTGAATGTGGAAACTACTGTCCATTTCAGCTGTCTACAAAAGATCTGTCTCTGAAAGAAGCCAAGTGTGTTTGCTGAAGTCTTTCCCAACTTGCAGCCTGGAGGTGTGGAAGGTGACCAAAAACCAGGACTTAATTCTTCACAAATGGAAGGAATCTGACATCTGTTACGTCTAGCCAAGATGCTGGAAAGAAACTGACGAGTTGTCTCACTGCTTCAACTTAGTGTTGGAGGATGATGTGATGAATTTATAATTTTAAATCTGTGGTCTCTTTGTAACATCTATAAAACTTGATTTGATTTCACTGAAGAATAAAATTATTATACTGAAGGAATAAATTCAGATTTATGGGCTTATGCTGCCAAACAGTATTTCTTCCTGCCTTGGATGGAGTTCATTGTGCATTAACATTTCTGAAAACGATTTCTGTGACTATATTTCAGTTATTCAGTGAGTTGACCATTTTCAATGTGAGCTTAACTAGATATTGTGCAAAGACTAGAATTAACGAATGTTTACATAATAGTTTAAGGATTGATGGACATGTAATTTTTTTTCTTTTGTACTTGTATTTTTTCTTTTGAATTTGATTTCGTAGTGTTTGCTTTTATTTGCTGTTATTTCTGTTACATTAATATTTTGTTTAGGTGTTTATATTGATTACTGTCATGTGTATGAAAAGAAATTCTTAAACCAAACCAAACTGCTAGCCTAAACATCAGACATCAGATTCAGGATGTATTCTTAGTACCTTCCGACATGCTGGTGACATTTATTATTGTTAGTATATTTGTATGTTTGATTCTGAAACAACACAGTGGTTTAAGAAATTATCTGTATGCTTTGTTTGCTTTTATTCCAGCTTTTGTATCTTAGCAACTGACCAAGCATATGCTAAATGTATTTCAGCATGAACTGAATTAGGTTCATTTATGCCACTGCTGATTGGGTTAGTGAGAGTTTTGGACGTAAACATGAAGGTATAACCTTCATTTTTGTGTTTATAAAATTGTGTGGTAGGAGAGTCAGTGCAAGAACAAATGTGATAATAGGCTTTTGTCACCCTTTGTTGGACTGGCTAGAACTTACTCCTCCCTCTTTTTAGTCTCAAGATGTTTTGCAGTAATGCTCTGTGGAGGCCTTTGCAGACATATATATCTAATAGGAAGGGATGAAATCTGTTGAAGAGTCTAGAAATCTCAGAAGATGAAGAAGATGTGTCCAAAGTAATGGTTGGCTTGACGTGAGATTGCTGGAGGTCTTGGTCTTTCCGGACTGCCCTGTCAGAACTAATTTAAGACATTATTCAATCATGCTGGATAGATATTTGTTCCAGAACATGCTGTTCCTTTCTGATTAGGTGCATCTTTAAATGTAGGTGCTCTGCTCTTCTATACAGTGAACAAGTCTAGCTTTTTACTGCAGTGTTTACTTCATGTTGATCTCGCTTGAAAGTCTCCCTGGAAGCTCTGAGAAAGAAAGACATACATTGGGTTAAGAAAAAAAGAAAAGGAAAAAAAAAAGTCTTTTGCTATTTATGTCTCATGTTTTATTTCTGAGATACTTGCAGTTTGTCATCTTAGAAAATCGCAACGTAGCTTTTCCTTTCTGTGGCAAGTAGTAAGATCTGTAGCCAACGATTTGGAGTTACTGCTGTCTGAGAGGACAGTGACCCTTTGACAGTGGATGTACAGTAGCCTCAAAAAGCAGTGTGAGCTAATTCTATGTTATATACTTCTTACCAGTATTACCACTGTTTTGCCTTATAATTTTTAATCCAACTTTGCTTTATAGTTTATCTTGCAGTTGCAGAAGGATGTGACAATACTGTTGCGTGTGCTCAAAAGGCAGTTGTAAATGAATTTTCTAAGTATGCCGCTGGTAGAAGGCACAACAATGGTCATTAATCTCTTCACTTACGCAATTTCTTCCCCAAAACTTCTGTATCAGTGCCAACTTAGTTTCTTTTTTTCCAATTGATTTCCTCCATCTCTGTGTCTTGTACATGGAATGCTCTGCTACTCCATTCATTCAGATCTCTCTGAAAAAGAAAATATTTTTGTATGTACAAAGAATGAACAGAACTAAATGCAATTATATTATCAACAGATTTGCTTTTTCATCAAATTCTATCTTTTATATATCCTTTTCTTTTTATAACTTCTTTTTTGACTGAAGACAAAGTATCAATTACACACTCTAACCTTTTCCACTTGTACATAGTAAAATTCCAGACCATGATCAATAAAAGCTCAGTTTGAATAGTGGGAAGAAGTCTACAAAGAAAATTTAACTGTGTAAAAGTGTATGTTTTTAACTTTTAAATTCCTGCTCATTGTGGCTGTAGTTTTCTTTCTAAGCTTTGGCCTCCTCCCAGTATTTACTGTGTGTGTACTTGCAATCTCTTAGAGCCTTTTGTCCTTTAGAAGGCAGTATTCTTCATTTTTACACTGTTTCACAAAATTTCTAAAATAAGTTGAACTTTGCAATGTGTTTCATGCCTTGTGTTGCCTTTCTTAATCTCTTTTTGTCTGTATGATTTTAAGACTGAAAGATAGAATACTTATTTGGAAGTTTTCACATCAGACGTCCTGACAGACTTGTGCATGTGCTCTGTTTCCTTCTTAAAAGTTTTCTGTTAACTCGGAAATGAAGACCCTAAAAACCACACAAAATATACACAGCAGTTGTCATAATGGCCATTATCTTTAGTTAGTTTTGAATTAAGCTATTCAGAATTTGCTTATTTTGAGAGACTGTCGAGCTCTATAATTTGCACCAAAAATGTTCAAACTTACATATCCCAGATACGCAGCATAGTGCAGTGTTATGAACTGTCAAAAATACCAGTGCTGAATATAGTCACAGCACAACTATTTTAACCAGTTTCACTCATTGATGCACACAAGAAGGTAATGTAGACTTCTGCAAAGACATTTTACAAAGCATTTTGAATGACTTTTTCTGGGTATGTTTTCTAGCTTGGACTTATTTCTTACCACAGTCATTTATTGATTGAGGGAAAATGACAGTTGAATAAGTATAAACACTTGAAGAAAAAGTTAATTTAAAGAAGAAAAAGTCTATCTAAAAGCTTCCCTTTGTAACCAGTATGTTCCCATTGATATTCTGCTTTCATCCAACTTTTCCCTTAGCTTCAAATTTGCTTATACCTCTGGAAATCTATAATAGAGAAGAAGTAAGAGTGTTATGTTTCCTTTATACCATGTGTAAATGGTAGTTCTGGATTTATGAACTGAGGGGTCTCAATTCTCTGACTTCAGGTACAGGAATGCATGCCCAGCTCCACTGGATTGTACAGAAGCAGTACACCTGGAAAACAAGCTTCCATAAAGGTATGTGCTTATTTTAATTATTAAGGTTTTAATATCAAGAGGGTGGTGTATCTGCTCTTTTCTCAGTGGCTGTCTTTCATGTATATTCTGCTCTTAAATGTGTTATCAGTGTCATGGATGTTTTAGTTATCTTCCATGCTTTTCGACTGAGTCAGCTCTTACAGCTGTTGTCTCTGAGGATTTAGGGCATGCAGACAAAACTAGTCAGTTCTTTCCTTTCCAATATAGGCTAAGAGATGGAATAACTAGTAGTGCTTTTCTTCAAATATATAGTTGCCAAATTAATAATTATATCTTTTTCAGCCATTGCTGACTTTAGCAGGATTTGTCCATGTATGCTAGTTCCAGAATATGTGTAAACATCTTACTGTCTATTTTGTTTTTAAGCCTTTTATTTTGAGGAACATTGTTAGAGGATACTGACATGGCTTTTACGGGAAACCTCAAGTCTTATATCTTAGGATTTTTTTCCCTTACTATCCAAGTCCAAGTATTCACAAACAAGGGTGATCACACTAAATGTCAATATGGCAGCGTAAATGATGGGTGCTTATTAGTCCTGATCCTTTTGTTTCTAAGGTCACTATAGCTTTATGTTTTGGTCTTGTAAACTCTCGAACCCTGCTCAATTATTTGCTTGAAAAGAAAATATATTTTTTCCTTTTTATTTAAGTAAAAATAATGCTAACACTAAGTGCCAAGGACACCTGAACTACAGGTCCCAAAATTTTGGATTGGATAAACGATTTAGATTCAGTCATTGCTTAGACTAATTACACTGATTTTAGCACTATTGCAGAATCTAGACGAGGTCAGTATCAGCTAAATGCTAGCTGTAGCTATTACTGCAACACAGTCTTATCGCTGAATGAAGTCACAGAATTTGCTCTCTGTCTCAGCAGGATAAACAATGCATATTATTGAGGCTTAATCCATTATCTCTAAGAATTCAACCACCTGGATGTGAAAATGAATTCAATCTCTATGCAGGTCTGTGGGAGATGTGCTGAATACAATTTGGCTGGCAATTTGCTTTGTTGTACAATTAAAATCTCAAACACAGCACAGATCCACATATTCTTGTAGTTTGAGAGGAGATACACGAAACTTGTTTTTCATATGGTTAGATGAGTAGGTTATGCATGCAGTGCTAGAATTAATCTCATGATGGAAGACTGGGCTTAGATTATATGGTGTCTTCACTTCGTAGCTGAATTATAGAACTGTGCTTAACTGCAGGCCTGGGTTTTGAATTTATTATTAGGTCTACAGTAAAAACCAAGTATTAGGCAGAGACTCGCTGAAGCGAAAATAGGGGTCAGTCACTTAACCATCCCAACCTTTAAGCAGTACGCATACTGTTGTTGTGACTGAGTGTAAATGTGACTGAAGTAACCTCTTAATTCATAACAAATAAAACTGACTTAAATATATTGTGACTTACAGGGGTTATATGTATTTCACACCATGTAAACTGAGCTGTTTCTGTCAGTAAATTGGATACAAACCATCTATTACAGCATGTTAATTTCTTTAAGTTTATCACAGTCTGTTTTGTACTCAGATTGATTCACTACTTTTCCAGCATTATTTACTCAACTGTATTATCATTTGTGCATACTGTGGGTTTTTATTACTCTAATTTCAGGATCCATATTGATCTGTAGAAATTGATACTGGGAAATTAGCCTAATCTGATCATATGTTGAATGAATAGAGGCTAATATTTATTGATGTAACTGATAATAAAAGCATGCTATCAGGTGGTGATCTCTATCTTTGCCATAACTTCATTTAGGTTAGAGTAGTGGCAGAACCCTCTCAGCTTCTGGCCAGGCAGTACATAATACAAGCCATAAAATATGGGAAACGTTAGAAACCTGTGTTTAAGTTCATATAATGTCACCATTTATTGATGTTAGTAGTTATAAAAGTTTTAATTAACAAAAATATTAATATACTGTAAGTTTCATTATGTACATTGGATCTATTTTCAATTGAAATAATTGGCTCTTTCTTTTAAAAGTAAGGTAGCATTTCAAAATTAGAATGGAGGCTTGGAAGTCTGGGCTGAATTGCACATCTCAAATAATTGTCAAGAGAAAGTAGAAAGCATTTAGAATACTGAAATGTGAAGATAGGATGACAGTGCACTTTCTTTTAGATCAAAAAACTTGCCATTGGGCCTTGATACTTATTTTGAAATGGCTTCACATGGCTCATCTCATTTAGTTTGAAAGGCAGTTTACATATTAGCTTCCAAGAAGCGTTAGCTTTTTCTTGCATTATCACATTCTTCCTTGTTAATAGAATCACAAATACTTATTCCCATTTCAACACATTTTAAACCCCCAGTTGGAGAATGATTCCCCACCGCTTCACAGCTCAGAGAAACAGGTGTTTGACTAATGTTCAGTGAAGATGAAAACACTTCCTGACAGATGTTCAGAGAAAAAAGAAAACATAATCATTATTGCTGGGTAATTGTAAATTGTGTTTTGCTTTAATTGTGCCTTAGTCCATAAGTGCCATAAGATGGTAAAGCCATGAGAAAAGTCCTCATCATCATGTACGTCTGTATCTCAGTGGTCCACTGTCTAAACTTCAGTGCAGTATGGTCAGGCATACTTTGGATAATTTTAATACACAATTTGGTATGACAGCAGCAATCTAAACACAGTAAAGTGAAAGTCATTGTAGTATAACTAACCCTACATTCTTTTTAACCCTGGACTGAGCATATCTGTCCAAGAATGAAGTCATAATTGTAATGCACTTGAAAAAATTATTCTTAAGCTGGCTTAAGCTCCTAGTGGCTATCAGACCTAATGAAAACTGTTTGAAAACTCATTAATGATACCTGTCATCTAGAAAGGGGAGTCCTATTTAAGTTGGTTCCGAATTTTATCCTTTGCTGCTGGCAAGCTATTGTATTCTGAAAGTGATAGGTTAATTAATGTATTGTAACCATAAGGGAGGTTTTTATTTGCTTCTTGTCTCCTGGAAAGAAGAACAGCAGATGAACTTGGCATACAACATTGTGTCCTGTGAGGAAATTCTAAGTGAATGCTATGTTCCAAAAGTGGAAAGTTACCCATCTGCTTATTTGTGACAGTTTTCTCTCCATCAAAAAAGTTTTAAGGGAGGCATTAAGATTTTTTAATTTATACTTTATTTTAGATTGAGTGGAATCTTTTTTCCTGTTCTGTTTGTATTCCATTCTCTTCTGATTCTTCAAAGAATAATACATTATAGAATTAAATGGTTTCTTTTTATTTTCTGCCTTTCCAAACTGTGACACATTTTTGACCTGTTATGCCTTGATTGTGGATCCCTTGTAAAATAACAATTTTTAGTCTGCTTCACTTTACCTCGTTCTGATTGTTTGCATGCTCGCTTTTGAAGAACATTAATACATTGATTTTGATTATTTTGAGAACATAAAACCAATTTCTGTGGCAAGAATCTCTCCCCTCCCCCCCCCCTCCCCCATGAGGCAAATGCTCTTTTTCTCTTTGTCAGTACAGAAAAGATCTCATTTCTGACCCATTCTTTATTTTTTTCCTTGTAAATACTTGTCTTATTTTCATTTAGGCTGTGTTTTCTTAAACTGATTTATCTTTTTGGCCCCTGACACCGGTGAGAAAATCTGAAGCAAGGAGGACTTATCCTGCATTGGGGAGAGTTAGGCTAGGAAAAATTTGAATGAACTGGGCATACAAGAGTCCTGATGTGGACCTGAATCAGCAAGTGCTGATGAAGTTCACGGATGTCCTTGTAAGATCACTCAAATTTTTTTTTTTTTTTTTTTTTTTGAAGGTCATTGTGTTTAGGGATGATCACTAAGGGATAGAAAAAAAAACAAATATCACTCTTACCATCAAGAAGGGCAAAAAAGAGGAGCTACAAATTGGTCAGCCTCACCTCAGTTCCTGGGAAGTCATTGAGCAAATAATCAGGGAAACTGTTTCTAAACAATTTAAAGACAGAAGATGACTGATGGTAGTTGGTGTGGATTCATGAAAGGAGTAAACATGATGCTTGACTACCTGGTAGCCTTACTGAAAGGCTATGAAAGGATGATCAGCAAGGTAGATGATGAGAGAACAGTGGATGTTATTTTTCTTGATTTTAGTAAGATTTTTTTATGTAGTCTCCAAGTTTCATCATCTAGAATAACTTAAATGCTGACTAGAAAAGTGAACTGTAGATTGAAAACTAGCTGAACTGCTGACCTTAGCTGTTTTTGTCAACAGCGTGGAGTCCAGCTGGAAACCACATACCAAGGGTCAATACCAGGATCAATACTGTCTAATATTTTCATTGATGGCTTAGGTTATAAAATGAGAGCAGACCTATTGCAAGTTTGCAAATAATACAAGATTGAGAAGGAGAGTTTATACAACAGATAGTTGTGCTGCTATTCAGAGGGACTTGAAATTAGTGGAGAAATGGGACTGTCTACTACTCTAAATATTGTGGCCCTTCTCATATTTAGTAGTACAAATGCAGAATTCCAGATTTTTCCAATGTGTCCTTGTTTAGTTGGGTCCAATGATTCCTTTGTTCTGGAGGTATGAATATCTTCTTTCTGTCTAATGTATTAAGTTTCAATTAAAGGGATTTGATAGTGAAAATGGTATCCTGAATTCAACAGTGCAACACTTTTTTTTTTTTTTTTCTAAATGTTGTTTGAAATCTATGTGCTAAGTCTGTTGATATTAATGGCACTGAAAACAGCATAATTTGAAAAGGACTTTTAAATGTTCCTACATTGCTTACAGGGTAATTTGCTTTTTCTCTTGAAGTTGAATTTACTCTGTGAAACTGACTGGAAATAGTATATATATATTTTTTAATGTTATTACTTCAATAATTGAGACTGGTATTGATTATACTAATTATACACTGGAAATTGTATGAAATGTTTATTTGTATATAGCGACTTTTCATAAATAAAACTACAGACAAAGAATAGAAAGCAATCTATTCAAAACTTT